TCGTTGAGTTTTGCTTACTTGAATGGACTGAAATATACTTTGTTACTTCTTAATTTTTCCTCTATGACAAAAATATTTAATATTCTTATTAAAAATAAAATGCCCAAGGATTTGAACGGATTACCCAAGAGCCCAAGACCAAGTCAAAATACCCAAGATCTTGGTTAAATACTATATTTTGTCAGTGGTCACGCTGACAAAATACAGTGTAATTAGGGCCTACTGTCACAATACAGAAATAGTTCTTTAATTATATCACTTTGTCAATCAGTTTTGTCCAAATTCTGATGTATAATTATTCATTAATGAAACTCAGCATTCATTAATTAGTTGTTCAAATTACGTCTGTCCAGGAGTTTCACGTACTGGAGCAACATTTATTGCGGAGAAACATTTGTTGGAATTTATGGTTGTTAAAACAACAACGTGTACTTTGAACTGTGAACTTCCGGGTCATATAGAACGCCGACTGATGAGTGGATTGAAACGATCGGAATCGATCTTCTCGGAAGTAGTAGACACGTTTAACTTTTCAATTTTATAGTCATTTTAATTTAAATTATTTAAAATGTCAGGAAAAATAAAGAAAGACAAAGATTTGAAATCACAAGAAAAATTTCAGGCGGTTTTATCTTCATTATTACGAGAAGAAAACAACAAGTATTGTGTAGACTGTGATGCAAAAGGTAAGCGAATCGAGAGCCTGCAGTGCAGCAGTAGCATAGTAGTAGTACGTTGTACGGTTCCCCACAGGAGCAGAAGTATATAATAGCTGTGCTACCACTTGTGTCAGTTGACAGGGTGTGGGCCCTGCATAGGCCTAGCCAGCTTGATAATAAGAAAGACATAATTGGCCTAACTCAAGGAGTTCTAAGTAGCAAATAATACAGTCCGTCAGTATAATATAATTATAATATAGTTACAGTATTTAATTAAAGGAAGTGGATATAGGCCCTATATATATTTGCTTGACTGTAACAAATCACTAAAACGATATATTTACGTGAAATAAATAACGCATGCGCAGTCATACTTTATTAAACTTGCATTATCCGTGCTCATAAATGTATCGATTCTGATTAAATGTACGTTAATGTATGTTCAACTTTCAGCACTCAAAATTACCGTCAGCCAAGCTGTGTTGCCCAAGCTCACCAAACGGCACTGATTAAATTATAATTTTTTTTTAATTAATATTATTAAACGTAATTTAATTTGCTACAATAGTATGTACAGTAGTTTAATCATCATAACATACATTATTAAATTATATCAATAAAAGTGATATTATAAGCCCTATCAGCCTACTGTATCAGCCTGAAAAGAGTATTAATAACATAATTCTTTCTTTTTTTCCCTTCTTTTTCCTCCTTTGCTCTGTTCTCTTCAAATCAATACATTTGCATGTCTTTTCCAATTTGAACGGTTGTTCACAATCATGCTCCAATTATTTAGTGCATTTCCGCATTTAAGTGAACTTTTGCAAGTGTCTTTGAACCTAAAAACTAGGATGTCCAACTGATCTTGAACCACAAGAAAGTTCTCCATACATTATATTTTTAACTGGTCTTTCATCATCAAAACATAACAAAAACAACATTGGCAGTTCATTTGATAGAAATACAGTACGACGGAAACACCAAGACCCATATTTTTTCTCTTTTATTTTATTGATAATATACCATGCTGTCACAAAATCAAAATTATTAATTATTTTCAAGGGTCTACTTGGGTGTCAACGAAAGGAGGACCAAAGACCTGAAAAACGAAGACCTCACATTATTTTTCAATTGAAAGTAATTTCAATTGAAAGTATTTCAAAATCATTCATCATAAACTATTGCCAAGTACCTCTTTCATTATTTCATCGGAAAGATGAGAAATACCAACAAATACAGTAACAAAGGATCTTCGTTTTATAGACAACCATTATGAGTGTCTACAAAACAAAAACCGAAGACCTGAAAAATGAAAACCCAATTTTTTTCTCTATAATGTTTATGAAAATAAATCAGATTATCACAAAATCAAATTTATGAGCTTATTTGGACATCTGTTTGTGAAATTATCAAGGGTCTTCACTTCATACAGTATGAGTGTCTACAAAATGAAGACCGAAGACCCAGAAAAAAGAAGACCCACATTTTTTTCTCTCAATCGTGATCAAAGGCATCGATCCATTGTTGAAAGTAAGGGAGGGGGGGAGAGACGAGTTGCAAAATAAGGAAGTCTTGGGCCGCAGGTCCAAGCCTTTGCTGGGGGCCCAGGGGGCGAAGCCCCTGAAAGCTCTGGCAACTATAGCCTTTTATAAGTCATATCAAATTGATTGTAAGAATGCATTTAACATTTACTTCCACACTACATTTTCAAAACACAATGGCGGATCCAGGAATTTGTTACAGAGGGGGCACTGGAAGGGAATTTTACAGATGGAATGTAGACCACATCAGCCCTTACCATGGTTGGGGCTGAGGTAAGAAAATTTATGATTATGGCACCTCTAGTTGGCCGGAAATGTCACTCTCAAACTTAATTTGAATATAATTTTCTCTTCGCCACTTTAAAATTTTGAAAAAATGGCCGGGTTGTGCCCCCTGAATCTGCTACCAGTGGCGTAGCGGGGGGGTCAAGGGGGGCACATGCCCCGGGTGCCAAGTTCGGGGGCGGGGGGCGCTGAAATGGGAGAATGAGAGTAAAAAAATAACCACTTTTTAGAAAAGCATGACGAAATTGATGTATGTCGTCAGGCATGAATATACAGTATATACAGTACCAGTTAATAATAAAAATCTGAATGTAGTTGTTTTTATTGGCAAAATTATAGATTGTGATTTATTTTTAGTCCATTTTGACCGTTTTCTCTTTTTTTCTTATCCTATTCTGTATTCTGGCTACATGACTAAAGCTCATCTCAGAGCCACGATTGGACAATTGATACTATCTGCTTTTAGTATTGAACGTGGTAAAGCAGACAACATTGCTAACTCTGATCATGTTATTAACTTATTTGCAGATGCAAAAGCACTCAAAATTCAGTTGCGAGTTTAAACAATGTTACAAATTCAGCAACTTACAAGACAATAAGAATACTTAAGCTGTATGCGATCAACAGTCTTACAAATTAGGATAATGGTAAAGTTGTATACAAATTTCCAAACATCGTAATGCAGTTTCAATAGTAAGAAACAAGGGTGGCTTGACTGGGGGTGGTGTGCCAGCCCCGTCGGGAATAGCTCTTCCCACCTCCAGTTGGGGAGAAAAACCATAATCCGTCGGGGAGAAAAAACAAAATTATATGTATTTTGTACATCCTAGTAGACTGTAAAATCAATTAAATATTAGCATTTGAAACCCATAAATTGTCAAAAATTTTCTATTTTTATTTCACAAACATATTCATGGTGATTTATTTAATTTATCATTTTCATGACGTCATGGCAAGATTGTGTCAACGTAACATTGGAGTTTGTAAACTTGTTGTATCATGCCCTATGCTATCATGCCATACACCTACTGTATCCTTGTCAAGGCTGTATAATTATTGTTTAATAACGGCTATATAAAATTCAATTGACTACTATAATTTTTTTAAATTAGGAAAACAGGAATCTAAGTATGCAGACAATATTAAACACTAGTATACGGGTCTTAATAATATAGAAAAGAAATAAATCGTTTATAAAGTTGTGCAGTTTTTAGTTTTTTAAAATGTTGGCCTGATAGGTTTACACACTTAATTTTAACAACGCAGGAGCGGATTTAGGGGGGTGCCGGTCCGGCCCCGGCCCCCCTTTTGGGAGGTAAAAAAAAGAAAAAAAAAAAAAAAAAAAAAAAAAAAAAAAAAAAAAAAAAAGAAAGAAAAGAAAAAAAAATGTAAGCCTAGAATGCCTCAAATGTTATTTTCTGGCGTCTAGAACACAACAATTTCGCTGGGGCATGCCCCCGGACCCCCTAGGACAGTGTTGTCTCGATCGGCCCAACTTTCGGTCCCCCCTTTTGGACATCTCTGGGTCCGTCCCTGTAACGAACAGTACATTTTCACAATAAATTCAGCCTCTGACAACCATTGCAAGTAGAAGGGACTATACCCTACGTGGGTGTCTACAAAACGAAGACCGAAGACCCTAAAAATGAAAATTAAAATTAAGTAAATGAAAGAAAGAATTCCTTGAGCTGTTTTACAGCACGTTATATTATGACCATCTCTGTCTTGCTCTCTCTAGACTCTGCCCTAACCACTAGCTGGCCTCATTCAAATACTATAAATCAAATGAGCAAATAAAAACGGCATCAAGGATCATGATTTCTATACTGCCGCAGGCCTGGAAAAATATTTTTGTGCCTCTGACCATAAAAATTGTCTTGATAAAATGCCTCTAGGACCAAATGTTATCTTAACAATATTACTGTATAGCGAAACAGTAGTACATTTAGTGGTTTGGTGCAAGCAAAAATATTAAATTTAATTATGCATCATATTGTAATGTTTACCAAAAAAACAATTCTGAAATGCCTTCGGGTTAAAGGTTAATGACTCCGACCGCTGGTCGCACAATTTTTTCCGCCCTGAACACTCACTTAACAAACAAAACATGAAAAAAAAAATAAAAAAATATAGAAATATAAGTTTAAGCACAAAAAGACAACATCTGTTGTTAATGGATCTTTCCAGAGTTGAAGTGACACTTTAACTGACCAGTTTTCAGAATAGAACAAGAAATATGCTTGTATCCCATCAACACACATTTTTGTGGATTTTTACACTGTTGTTTTGTGGGACTTTAGGCACAATATTAAAGTAGCAGCATGTATTCACCACTGCCTGTCTGTTAGCAGGAATTAAATGCAAAAACAATTAATGGATCATCTTGTTGGGTTTAATTATGGGTCTAAATGGTCAAAGTCAAGGACACAATATGAAAAAAAAAAATGATATATTAACCATCTCTCTTTTTACCATAGCACCAAGATGGGCGTCATGGAATCTAGGTGTTTTCCTTTGTATCCGATGTGCTGGTATCCATAGAAACCTCGGTGTCCACATATCTAGAGTCAAGTCAATCAACTTGGATACCTGGACAGAAGAGCAAGTTGATGTATGTAAATGTATTCATTACAATTGTTTAGAGACAGTACTAACAACAGTAATAACACTTATACTGTATTAAAATTAAAGATAATAAGCGATTCATTGAACATTTAAAATGGATTTAAGGATCTGTTATACACTGTCCACAAAATTGAGATGCTTCCAGTTTGGTATGGAATGCCATGTTGTTGTTAATCCTACTGCCACTTACTGTAAATCTTAAACATGAACTTGAAAATAAAACAATTTACAGTTGAACTTGCCTAAGTCAAATCAAAAAGGGCATTGAAAAATTGTTCTACTCAGATAAAATTTGACTTACAGATGGTTAATTAATAGAAAACACAACAATTTGGCATGTAAAATAAGATCAACTTAGAAATTATTCGATAATAGGAAAAGTTGACTTAGGCAAGTTTAACTGTAAGTGCTTTTTGTCTGTTTAAATTTAAGTTAAAACTTTGTATTACAGTAGTAAGGTTTCATAAAATATACAATAAGTAACAGTGGACACACAATAGCAATTAATTGAATACAGTACTGTCCAATAATTGAACATATTAATAAATATCTATGAACTTCAATGTGCTATGTTTCCATAGGCCTGGTTTACAGTAATTATAATAACCTTGACTTTTCAATATCCTGCACATTATTATTAATTTTATTATAGTATAGTCATGCAAAATATTACAAAGCAATACATTACAATACTTAACGTGGAAAATGAATATTAGTAGACACAGGCTGTCCTAAAGACACACAAGCAGCATAAATCACTGTTACCATGGTTCCTGATGTACAGTATAGCTATTTTTTTTTTACCTTTATGTTGATATATCTTGAATTATTTATGTATGAACATCTAGGCATGGGATCAGTTAAAGTGAGAATGTATTCAATTACAAGTTGAAATTAATCTTTTTCCAATTATAATTACTTACTTTTTCCCCATTACAATTACAATTACGATAATTACATTTTCTCAATTACAATTACATTTTCATTTTGAAGTTCGGACAAAATCATATATAAAAAAAATCATATATTCATTTCAATCAACCACATTAATACATCAAACAGATATTTAGACTTTAAGTATTTAAATGTTTTATAGAGTAGATGAATTACAAAAGATCAGGTCCAGATTGAAAGTGGGCCCGTTTGTCCTGAAAATGGCCCGATAGTCTGGAAATATATTCATTTCATCTTGTGGACCAATCATCAGACTGTAGGAAAAATCATTTCAGCCCATAACTACTGTTTGTATTTGTTGATGTTTGATATACCGAAATAAATAAAAAATATGATAATTTTAATTATGATTCTTAATAATATGTTAAATACATTTAACTCAATAATGAATCAGATAAGTAGGCCCCATAGTCTACACTAGGTGGACCCATTTCAATCAACCACATTAACTGTACATCAAACAGATATTTAGACTTTAAGTATTTAAATGTTTTATAGAGTAGATGAATTAGGCCCCGTAGTCTACACAAGGTGGACCTGATGTCTGAACATGTTACCATTTATTTAATATAAAATAAAAATAAAATAATAATTTTTAAAAATGGTGATTAAATCCACTTTTTTTTTCCCTATTCAGAGTGTGGAAAGTGTTGGCAACACCCTTGGACGCAGGATATATGAAGCCAATCTTCCAGCCACATTCAGAAGGCCTCAGACGGATTCGTATCCTTTTATTTGCAACATTATTTGTATTGAGTTCATTTCATGACATGAAATACATGGCTACAGAACGATCATCATAATTTGCATGCTCGCAACTCTACTGGTTGTGTAAATTCGATGATGTATGAGTAATATATTACCAATTGTTTAATTTTTAAACATAAAATGTACACTGGGATTCAGCCTTTTTATTAATAATACTGAAGAAAGTAGAAAGTGTCTGATAAAAAGCAATGTATTTTAAGAAAAATTTGATGTGTATTTCATACAATTATTATCATAAATTGACATTTATGAACATGTTTAGAATCACCAAAGAAGATACACAGATAAAAATGTTAATTAATAATGAATTATTTAATATAATTATTAAAATGTTTATAACATACAAATTTAAAGAATACCACTGCAAACAGCATTAGTTTTGCAAATTAATAATTGTTTCAATGTTTCAGCAGCATTTCATTCAAATACCCTGATAATATACTTACTGTCACAAAGGGATTTTGTTTCTTTACTGTTATGTGAAAGTGTGACAGAATTGCACTGAATTGGACATAATTGAATTATTTGCAACATATGTACATTAGGAATTATTTTCACAGAAACTGATGTGAAACTTTATTATTCACCATTTATGGTTAAAGAAAGGTACTTTCTATTTTTTGACATATTTTGAGCAAATTATCTACTGTTCATATTTTAATTTTCCCAATAGGTGGAAGGGGATATACTATTGCATTGATTATTTTGGTATGTCCTCTTTGAATTCAAATTTTTTAGACAAAAATTGTTCACGACACATGTCTAATGATATCTCATAGATGACCAGCCAAATCTATATTTAGTGGCAGAACAAGGACTGTACTACTGAAAAAAACCTCTAATAGAAGCCCAATAGGCTTAATCTTGAGAAGAAGCCCATCTCGAATTGGAGCCCCCTCTTTAGTTTGCAAAAGTAGCCTTGAAAAGTCCAACTTGAAAAAAAAAAAATAGGCTTCTTTTAAAGATGGCATGGTCTTCTTTTTGAGGTAGTAGGGCCTACAGTACAGTAGATACACTACATAAATTTCAAACAAACAAAATCAATTAAAAACATGCTTGTTTTACAGTAGTTTAGGTGAATTAATGCCAGTTGATACACTACACTTCATGATAGAGACTGATGTTACAGCTATTGTTTTATAGTAGTAATTCCCTAAATTTACAGAATTTTGAAAAGGAGCCCCTCTTTTCTTTGCAAAAGAAGCCATCTCGAAAGAAGCCATCCAAAGGCGCAAAAAAAAGGAAGCCCAGGGCTTCTATTGAGGTTTTACGGTATATTACACATAGTTTTATCGGTTTTGCGTTCATGAAATTATTATTAATTATCATTATTATTATTAATTGAATATTATTGACTGTTGTATAGTATTTAATGTACACATTCTACTGATCTGGTAGTCTATCCAAAAGGACAATACTAGGAAATTGAAATCCACCACTTCCTTTTATTGCCTTTTAATGGGTCAGAATGGATGTTGAGGAAATTTGAGTACAATCTACAGTAATATACTTCATGCATCCAGGTCATAAAGTTGATATTAGTATAAATTTTTATTGATGCTTGTTTAATTCCTAGGATACAGGATGGAGAACTCAGAATTTTTGCATCTGGTTCCTTATCAATGTTATTATTGTTTTGTCACTGATTTATTATTGCTGTCTTGATCATATTGTTGTATTAATAATATTATTCAGTATTGTTGTAAATGAAACATGCAATATATTTTTATAGTGACACATGAAATACTTAATAGTAGAAAAATGTGTCTATTTTCTTTCCATGTCCTGTACAAGATGTCTTTACAAGATTTCTTTACATGCTTGATTCAAGTGCTAAGATTGAGATACCATACTTTAAAATGATTTGGACTCCACATGTATTCCTGAACTCGCTAATCTATCTACTTTACTATTTGAGCTGTGTGAGCTTCTGTATTAAAGAATTATTTTGACCACAGAACTTAACTATTTTGAGGGCCCAATATATCTGTATATTGACTGTAATTCATTCAAGCTATAGTTTTAGGTCCTGGGTAACATGATTCAAGAGGTCAAGCCAACACAAGAGTTTTGCTGACTCCTGTTTGGTATACAAAGATGTGCCAATGACATTGTTTCTTATTTTTTTCAATTCTTTGCAGAGTTATGTAACAAAGTTGCTTATGATTCCTTAATCAAATTGTACCAGGGCTTTAGATAATTTTATTCGTGACAAATATGAAAGAAAACGCTACATGGATAAATCAATTATACCGACCAAACAAAAGGTGAGTGTGAATTTATCACTGACATTAAACTAATAATCATCCAGATGAGTCTAAAAGAATAGAATAGAGAAAATGGAGCACCTTTTAATGTTGATGAAGGCCAACAACCACCTAGCTACTGATAAAAGGTAGATTATATGGGATTGAGCTATTAGGCACCAGTGCTAATGAGGGTACACAGACAACCATGGTTTAAAAAATGGAAAATTATTGGGGCTTGAGAAATTAAGTCTACAAGGCAGTGGGAAGTCTATAGGACACTGTGAATAAAATTTGCAAACAATAAAAATGAGGTATTAAAAGAAGTAGTTTATACATTTTATATAATGATTTAAATAATTATACAGTATCTGAATGTTATTAATTAGCCAAAATAATGTATTTTTTTAATTATATATACACTGTAGCACTGTATTCTGTTTCTGTTTAATAAATTTGAATCTTGTTAGAAGGTTTTTAAACTCATAAATAAATATAATAAATGTATTAATATTAAGATTTTCATCTTATTTTATATACAAACATTATTTCAATGCATCAGTGCCACCATAATGTTTAACCTACAAATTGCCTATCTTTAATATCTATTATAGTATTTATCTTGTTTTTTACCCCTGTATTAAATTCATTTGTCTTCCATAAGGATTTAAGAACAATTGATCTGATAGTAAGTATGATGATATCCTATTTTGAATATTGTATCTTGGAACAATCTGCTGAGATGGTGATGAGTATTTGTGATGGTGAAGATGCTCATTATAATTTTAAAATGAACAATTACTATTGTAACACAATTTATGACACCATACATTCTGTGCAATTATGCCTTCCAGGAGAAAACTAATTAAATTGCCATCTTGTTGCTAGTGAAAGCACTTCTTGTCAGAAACTTGTTACTTCCTATGACTACCACATTTGGAGTTGTTTAGTGTGATCAGCTTTTGACATTCCAAATAATATTTGTATAACTATTAATTATATAGAAAACACATGGAAATTTTAAACTACTGTAGGTAGATGAGATTCTTCAAGTTGGCGATTATAATCACAGCCAGCAAATACTGTATTATTACTGCAAAGCTGTGTTCACAATATCAAATTTTCTTGACAAAAAACTGTTGTATGCCCATATATAGTCATGATGTGTTCAGGGTTTCAATCCCACGCAGTGCATTTCACTTGTGTCCTTGGGCAAGGCACTTTATTTGCATTGCTTCTCTCCACCCAGAAGCATAAGTGGGTAACTGGTGGGGTAAATGCCAAAACGTGCTGATGTAGCTGCTGTAATGTTATGGAATATACAGTACTCTCCCAGGAGCTTGAGTTTGTGTACAATGACCGGGGTAATGTTAATGTAAAGCGCATAGAGGGCTTAACAATATGCACTATATACGTCTACCATTATTATTATGTGATGTCATCATGACCATATATAGGCATGTCACATTTTTTTGTCAAATAAATTTTGAGAGTCTGGAGGACAAGGCTTTTCTCAGCTAGTAGTTGTTCCAAAGTACCTTAGAGGCTTTACCATTTCCAACTTTTTTTTTTTTGAGTACATTTTATTATAATTCATTGAATGGATTTTCTTGCGGAAATTTTATTCTACGGTACTGTCCATAACATACAACAACATCATACAACATTAGTTATGCTATTAAACTGATGCTTGTCATATGTTCTCAAAATCGCAGGCAAAAAAATGTGTCTGTTAGTTCCACTTCCACTGCATGATCTGTTTTGTATTTTTTTTAAATATATTTGGTAGTACACTACTTTTTTCTAGTTACATTGCTTCATGTGGAATTGTTCCAAATTATCAAAATTTTTAGTAGTTGTGGTTTCCTTTATACATGGTAATCCTTTTTTTTAATAGTTACTTTGACCAATGTTTTTAATAATTGTGATCATTTCTTTTATATTTCCACAAAGGTGTCTGCCAGTCTTTCTATTTGTATTGGTTTAGATATACTGTAAATTCCTTTTCTATCTTTAAAGTCACTCACCTCATATTTAAATCCTTAACATTGATATTTTGTCATTTTCCCATTATTATTTCATTTTTCCATTATTACAGTATGCATGTTCAAAATTATTTTCTTAATTTCTTATATACAGTGTATGTATTTTTTATATATGTTTATTTTTTCTTACTACATATAACTTTAAAGGCAGTGATGGATCTAGAAAGTGGAGAAACTGAGGATTTAAAAAAATGTTGTATACAGCACAATTCCATACTAATAAGAACATATACTTCATGTAAAAGTCTCTTTCTTTTTTGCAAATTGATATGCTGCAACATCTCTAATTTATTCAACATTGTTCTATTGGAATTTCTACTTAATATAGTGTGTCATTGCAATTGTATATATATATATAATATAAAATTACCGATTGTTCAATATCAGTTCGTTTTGCATTTCCAGAAGAAGGAAGACAGAGATGCAGAAAAGGAAAAGAGACGAGCTAACAAAAAGACCGAAGTGAAGTCCCAAGTGCCACTAAGTGCGGTAGCGAAACCTAGACAGGTACTGGAATTTCCTTATTACTGTTTTTAAATTGAAGAATGATTCATTTTTTCTCTTGAAATGTATAATAATTAGTGGCTTCTATTAAAAAGATAAATCTATTTTATAATAATAAAATATAAAGTGAGAATAAACAGTTAATTATAATTTCTTTATGTTATGATGGTATTAAAAATGCATAGAACCCCATTTAATTATTAGTGGTGCCTATTCTTATTATTTCTAAAATATTTTTTTAAAATTTTATTTTGTAGCAAGCAGCTAAACCAGTTCCAGTGGTTCAGGCACCAGTTGCTCAACCAGCACCTGCAAAACCACCCCAAGCACCTGTTCAAACCAGTGCCGCAGTGGACCTTTTAGGCCTGGGTAAGAGCACTTTACATTGTTTTTAATTGGCTGTAGAAACTGCTTATTGATTGAAATATAGTGTGCCCTAAGGTGAGACAAATATTTTGTGTGAGTGGAATTGTGAAATGTGCTGCTAAGGAAATACTGTATTGTTCTCTCATAAAGTGATACTACATGCAAGAAAATGTTGTTATTAATGTATATTTCCAAATTCCATGCTAGGTATTGAAAATTATTTTAATATTAATGACAATGTGATGGTAATAATCTTTCATGATTCAGATTTCTGTTTTCCTGTTGTCTTACCAAAATGTCTATCTCTGTTGTGTGTCAGTTTGGGTGGGTGGGCGTCTATTTTTGTCTAATTTTTTTCAAAAGCGGGCTTGTTTTGATAATAAGAAAGAACAAGAATAAGAATATATTTATGTTTAAAATAATTAATTAGAAAAAATATGTTTGAGTCTGAAACTATAATTTTTTTTTATTTTTTTTTATTTTTGTGCATTCTCTTTTCTTTGTATATTTACCCTATTTATCAATACCTCCTACACCATCTTTTTCATATATGTATGTTAAATAGTTTACCCTTTTGACGTCGCCTTCTTCCCAGCTCGTCCCTCTACTTCTAGCTCCCCTCTTAGTAATGAACCAGCTAGTATACTGCCAAGTGACTCCCCTGGTAAGTTACATTTTGTCCAAATGTGGTAAACTTCGGTTTTCCTTCATCTTAAAATGGTTGTGGATTGAGTGATGGTCAGTTTATCTGTAAATGAATAATAAATGTCCAACAACAAATTTGCTCTGAGGAGTACTGTACATTTACTTCTTCCATTCAGTTTTTAGTTACTGTTTAAATGTACTTGTGTCGAGAGAGAGTATTGTTGCTTTGTCCTATAAAGGCTATTGTCTATTTCATTTATACTTTAGTAGTTCTTCTGTACTATACCAGTATATAGAAATCTACTGTTGCAGTATTGAACAATAACCAAAACCAAACTAAAAGACATTTCTCTACTCTGCACCAGGGGTAGCTCCAGGAGTTGCCTGACTGGGTGTCCGTTGTATCCAATGCGGGGATGAGAGAAAAGTGGGAAATTTAGGGGTTTTAAAAGCTTATTTAATCAAATTTAGAGTCTATTAATATGTAGAATATATATCCATTTTTCTCTTCCCGATGGCAAACCCCCAGACACACCCCTGCTCTGCACTGTGGATTTTTTAGGTTTAATATTGCAAGCCATGGTCCTGTAGTAAAGAAAGTGTATTTTTAATGAAATACTTTTGTCTTTTATTTGCTACTCTCTATGCTAAAGCATTTAAGTATATGAAATATACCTGAATGCTGTTTAAAGGAGTTTGTTAGGTGGTAGTTATCTTTGTTCCTTACAAACACATCTTTTTTTCTTATTCAGTTGACCCAAAAAACAACACGAACTACTAAATACAATAACTTTTCTAAATTTATTACCTTGGTGTTGGCCAATGTATGGATTGGGATTTTATGGGTTTTTTTTAATACTTATATTAAATTGTTTGTAAAATTTATGATTGTTCATAATTTAAATATACATAGACACAGCAATGTCTCTCTTTATAATGATTTGCTCAAAGTTTGGCTTACAGATCATACTAAAATTATATTTTTTCTGTTAATTGTTTAACATTGTTTGTTTTTCTAGAATACAGTATATGTATTAATTTCCTTTTTGAAATTGATTTAAATGACCAAATTAATTGATCTTTTGATTGATCTAATGACAAATAAATAAGATCAATAAAAACAAAATGCTCTCTGCTACAGCAAATGGACCAAGTATAGCTCCCACATCCCAAGATCAAAATTCCAATGCCTTTGATTTGTTAGGCATGGGTAAGTTCTAAAGAAATGATTGATTTAATACTACTGTAATCTGCTTATACTATATAACAAAAATAATTTAACAAAAAAAGTATCATTGCTTTTTTAGTACTGTCTCTTATACACATCTTGGAAGAGACAGTATATATATTAAATTGAAATATAGCATATAGCAAGGAGTTAACAACTGTAAGCAGTGTCTGCTTTAATACTAACAAAAAATATTTATATAGCTTGATACCATTGAGCCAACTGTGATATCCAGTTCAGAGAGGAGTTACTAAATACACAACAATATTTCATACACATTATGTTTTTTGATACTGGTCTTCATAAAATTATCTCCTGTCTTCCACCTTGATCCTAACCATTAATCACATTGTGTACTTAGCATCTCCTCCAGAAGATCCCCTAGTAGCGTCTCTACAGCCTCAACCCTCAGCTTGTCCACCACCTGTCCTAGTTCCTGGTGAGTTGTCAAATGCAAACAAAATCCTTAACATTGGCATTGATTTTAATTATCTTTACTAACACAGCATGTTGGCACACCTATTTAATCTTTGCAGTCTGCTTCTTTCTTTATAATCTTCTAATTAAGGGATAATGGTTTGCATGCTGAAATGTCATGTTATTGACACAGTTCATTCTTCCTTTTAAACAAAACAATTATCTTCTGCAATAGGTTACAGGATATTATACATATTCAAAGTACCTCTGGTTGCCTTGGATACAAGATCTGGTTTTTCAATTTCATATTGTATATTCACTCCTTTATTTATTTATTTATTAATTTAAATTTAAAATTTTTTTTGTTTGTGTACTTAAACTGCATTTATTGTTTGGTAAATCAGTAATTATTACACTTGTTCATTACATATCTTCAACACTCATTCACTTCCATTCATAATAATAGTTCTTTTTCATGAGAGCAGCAGTCACGTTTGCTAAGGTGTGGATAGCCTTGGTTTGGGTGCTCAACCAAAACACTTCCTTTGGTCAATAGTTGTAAGTCATGTGACTGCTCCGTTTGAGTCTTGTTTTGCAACGCCAGCAGGGGAAGTGTGTTCTAAACCACAAGTTGAACAAATCATGTCTCCCGTTTCTAAACATTTAATCAAAATATGTCACAAGAAAGTAAAAAAAAAATCATTGCCAAAGAACATTACTACCTGAAACTGCCTGATGCGTAAATATACTGCATCAATTCAACTCTATCTGCAATAACAATTCTTTGTTTTATTTTTCATCAGTCACTCATTTACGTCATTCTTTTTTCGCATTAACTTTAATATTCACTTTTTTCACCTTATTCTATCTTCTTTGAGCTTATCTTAAGCTATCTAAAATAGTAATAACCATGATTTTGTTATTTATTTCTTTGATGAAATGGTGTGAATGCTAGTAAATAAGGTAATCATTGGTACAGTATAGCTGGATTGTCAGCCTTTTTGGCAAACACAGCAGTTGCTACAGTTGTGGAGCTGTAAAGGCTACCAAAGGTTAAATATTAAATCTATTAAGGTTGGAATGGAATTGAAAATGAGGGCATGTAAATTTCAATCACACATGTATTCTATATAGAAAAAGCACACATCCTCAGCCTTTCAGCATGTGATTGGCTGTAATTCAGTGCTTATCGAAAGCTAATGCAGCTACTGTATGGTTCAGTGGTTAAGGTACTTACCCTCCAGCACAGATACTTTGGTTCAAATCCTGTGACGGCATGATTTTTTTGCTCAATTAAAAACAACTTCACTTTTTAGTACTGACACTAACTTTATATATTGTTTGGTATTTTTTTATAGCTGGTCATCAAGGAAAATGTTATAAAAATAAGTAAAAATTACAAGCCAAATCTCTTGAGCATATGTAACAGTTCAAAGGTGAAGTGCAATGCAAATGGTTTCTGTTTAAATCCCATGTGTGACTTCATCCCAACAGATAATCCCCAGCCTAAACCTGTTTCCCAGACCACCAGTAATGTAGCAAGCAATGAGGATAATCTATTGGGAGATGATGCCAATTCCACATCTGGCAAAGCTGCACAGAAAACTAAGGATTCCATTATGGCTCTCTTTGACTCGGGCTCTACACAACAGCAGCCATTTTATAATGTTCCAGGTATAGAAGTAAATTACTTTGAAATACAGTGTACTTGGTATCACAATACTGATAATTAGATAATAATATTGACATTTTTGTTGATTGATATAGGAGATAACAATGTAGTTCCCACAAGGCAAAGTAAGATACCTGTACTTATATTGGTCGTGTGTGCAAATAGAAATAAGCTGAAATAAAATGTTATTATGACCTACATAATTTTACAAATAATTTGAACAAAAGTAACAAAATACAATATACAAAGGCACAGGTATTTTGTTTGGACTAATGTGAGAATATGTAGGATAATATTTATAATTTATTATGCTAGTCTTGTATACCGTATATTTTTGTGTATAAGGTGTTTGAGAAGATTTTCAGCCAAGTTTTGTATGTCAGGCCTATAAAATGACCCCCCACCCCACAATTTCACCGTCAGAAATTCATACTTTCTGCTGCTTTTTATGGTCTGAATACTGCATCTAGCTCGCTAAAAACAGTGCAAAATGCAGGGCTAATCTTCCAAAAAATACCATTTTATGAGATTTTAAATGTTCATTGAAATCTTATTTCCCCGTATTTAAAATTGCATTCATTCATAAGCCTACTACCATTTTAGTAGCTTCATTGCAGTAGTAAGTTTGTGTTACAGACGATCCGCACAAAAGACAAACATGATATAAGACAACTTTGTTTTTCAATTTTACATAGTGAATTTTTCACTGACAGGTCATGCCTAACACGGTATTGCGTTGCAGCTGAAAATTGTACCACAAAACACGCGTTTTCTGAACGCGAACATTATAACAAATGCGTGTAAAAACACACACTTTTAGAATGCATTCCTAACCGTGTTTTTGTTTTGTGGCCTGTTTCTACTGGGGAAAAAACATGCGTTTTTTTAATGACCGTTTAAAAACACATGTTTTTTTGCGCAGCAGAAACGGCCCTCAGACAGCATCGTGCGATGCAGCCCATCACGGTTTATCATCAAAGACACACAGATCCAAGGTGACGACAGATCGTGTCAGCGCATTTGCTCTTACTACATTTCATAGATCATCTAACTGATTTCCTTTTACATTTATAGGTGGAGTATATATACCACAACAGCAACAGCAGCAGCCGCAGCAATTTATGGTAAATGGAACACATCCACAGCAAGGGATGATGGGTAATGGAGGGATGTCTGGTTATCCTGTGCAGGCAACACCTACAGCCACCGGGATGAACACCCAACCAATGGTGATGAACAGCACCCCCATGATGGGTAAGCAAGGAATAGTTCAGAACCAGAGCATGATGACCGGTCATGCAATGATGCCAAACCAAGGTATGATGGGCCAAATGTATGGAGGACCACAAAATTCACAGCTGTATTTACAACAGGTGAGAGAATAATAGGCAGGTGTATGAATGATTTTATGCTGTGAAATATAGCTTGTATTATCCCTTCTATATTTAGCTTTGCAGTGTTAATGCTCTATGTTCACCCAAACTTACTACTGTATAGTATTAATAATCATAGCCACACAATTAACATAACTGTATGTTTAAGCTGTGTATAATATTTTTGTATAATACATGTCTTTAATCTTAACAACTCATTCCATTATTATTGTAAAATATATTTATTTATTTAATTGAAATTAAGATAGTATAATACATACTCCAAGTATCGAAATGCATGTCATCGTGTCAATATTCAATATTTCAACATTATGGTCATCATCAGGAATGATGAAATTTGTTGTGTAAGATAGACATTTATATTAATTCAATTTTATTGTTATAAGTTACACATTCTAAGTACAGAATCGTTGTTTTTATTGTCAACTACAGCAGTACCAAGTACAACCAACAGGCCAGCAGTTCCAGCAACAAAACAAACAATATCAACAAGAACAACAGTTTCCAACACAGACAGGGCAACAATTCCAACAAACACAGCAATTTCATACACAAACTGGGCAACAATTTCAACAAAACATGCAGTATGTCAATCATACAGAGACACAAAGCCAGCAACACCAAATGCCACTCTTTCAACAAAAGATGGCAACACAAAACACACAGTTACAGTATCCACAGCAACAAATGATACAGCAACATTTTCAACAACAGTATTTAGGTTCAAGTCAGCAACAGCAGAGTCAGCCTGCCACCAGTGGAATGGTACATTTTTTTTTTATCTTGCATTAAAATTTACATTTTTAAATTATTTTGAGATCATGTTTTGTTAAAGGTACCAAGTCAAGATTGTAGTTACCATCCATTACCTGTAACTGAAATGTTGAGTCCTATCTAAATTAATTGATTAACTTTTATTTTTATATTTTTGATTAATATAACTGATACAGTGGCGGGTTCAAGTGGGGGGCCCCCCCACTGGAACCCGCTTCCCCCCCCCCATTTTTTTTCCCAAAATTATTTTAAAAAAGGAGAAAAAAAGAAAATGATATTCTGAGAGTGCCATTTCTGGTCATCTAGAGGTGCAAAAGGTGCTATAACTCATAGATTTACTTACATCAGCCTCAACTATTGTCGGGCTGAGGTGGTTTAAGAACCTTGGTTTGTGAAAGCATCTTCCTTCCCATTTCTCCTACTTCAAATTCCTGGATCTGCCACTGTGATAGATGGCACCAACATTTTGGGGTGTTTTTATTCTTTCATTATGTAAAAGTGCATCGTTGAAACATGATTACTAAAAAAATGTGCAGAACATACATTTCCTTTCCTACATAACAATAATTAATTGTGTCATTATTACAGTAAAGTCATCAGGATGTTGATTGCATGTGTCCAGTTTTCTTATCTTTAGATTTTTTTTTCATAATATTTAGAACATTTGACTTGAAGTTATTTACTTTTGATATAGGACTTTTTTATTTTACTATTCTGGTTTCAAGACATCTTGTGATTCTACTATCTTTCTGTTTCATGTATATTTTGTTGTGGGATTTTTGGTTTTGCAATTGTTAATTTCTGTTTGTTAATTCATAACTGTTACTCATTATCCATTGTACTGACTCTAAGAGTTTCATTGCCGATGATTCATGCATTTGTTTAAATATTTGTTAGAGGAACTGTTATGTTTGTGGTACTACTGTAGTTGTTCAGTCACTTAGTTGTTAGCTCAAAACCTAGCCACCAGGGATGGTAGCCTACATATTGTTGATGCATAGTCTTAGCAACACATGATATTTCATTAGAATCTGATTACATCTTAGGAAGGTAATGATGGAAGAATGATCAATAAAACTAATTGACCAATCAGGCAGCATTTTATACCCAGTTGCTATGGTACAATTGAATTTATTTATCTCATTAAAACTTCCTGTAATTGGTTATAATGGAAAAATATGAGATTAATTGACCACTAAGATGATCGATTGTAAAATAACCGTCACATTCATACCAAACAGAGATAGCAAGTACAGTACATACATTTTTTAATACTGATCATATGTTAGTTTTGTTTATTATAATGAGACTTAGTTATGTAGAACTTCTTGTTTTTATGTTTGTCTTGTGAAGGAATATGTTACTGAGAATAGTGATTAAGTTCACTGCTTGACATATCTTTGGTCTTTGAGCAGAACCAGTTAATATAAAAAAAAAAATTCAAATTGCATAACATTTTCACAGCATATTTAGGGCCTTGCAAGTTTCAAACATAAGAGGATAGTGATGGTGGTGATGGTGTGTGCGACATTGGCAAAGATGCAATATGATATATATCATCTGTCATCAAATTAAATACAGTTGTACACAATTAGATGTACATAGTTGTACACAATCCTCATATGCAGGTTGCATAACTAACTGTGCAATTGGAGCGTCATTGTGAATTTTAGTTTGATTAGAAGCAGTTTCTTATGTTTCTTCGCAAATTTGAAACAGCACTAGTCTTTAAAGCACATGTAAGAGAGATCAAAATAATAATGTAAGCCCTTATGTATCTCAGGCATTGGAAATGTAAAGACAGGATTTTTGAAGAGGAACTTTTACATAAATAAACACTCTAAACCATCTTGCATAAAATATCAATTATGGTATTAAATTAGATCAATAATGAAATTACACAAAAAAAAAAAAATCAGCAACCCAGAACAAATGGTCTTCATTATTCAAACTTAACAAAAAAAAAAAAAAAGAATGTTATGATCCTTGTTTTGTATTTGTATGAATGACAACAAGTGTGTGTTATATAATGGTTTGAAAATAGTTGCATCCTTCTTGGCCTATTTTATATACAAAGACTAATACTGTACTGCTTTCTGTTTCATATTCACTGTGTTTGTATGAGAATGAGCTTTATCAAATTAATTGCATGTAGCTTGATTTTATTTCTAATTTTAGTTAACAGTGCTTGCATGTTTATCTTGCTCACCACCATGCTTTTTGTGAATGTTGGTTGTATATATTGCTATGTAATGCAAAATATTACTATAACCCCTATCTGTTTAGGTTGTGTACAAAATGCTAAAAAAAAAATATTTGAAATTATTTATTAATTAAAATAATTCTACAATGAACATTGAATGTGATTTTTGACATTTCCAGATACTCTCTTCCTAATCCCTGTCAGCAAGCTTTTACTTTTTTTTAAACATTTCATTTTTATAAACCCAAAATTGGGATTAAACTTGATGTGGTTGGGGACCAAATTCGCAGGAGGCCAAAATCCCTGTGACACTGGCATGTTTATAACTATTAATTGTCTTTTTGTGTTTAGAGCTACCAGGCACAACAAATGAGACAGGCTCAGCAGTTTCAACAACTGCAACAGGTATAATATACTTTTCTAAGACGTTGATAACTGCAACAAAATTTGTAATCATTTTTTTATTTACAACAAATACCTGATTGACACAAGACAAAATATTTCACGGGTAAATACTAGTAAAGTTTAGCAGGTGCCCTGTACTACAGCATGTCCATGTAAGAGCAACAGACCAATGTTCTTACAACAATTTACCGCAAATGTGAAACGGCCTAATGAGTGTTGCATAATTGCATCTTGTAATTTTACCAGGCACCTATACCTTGTTATGCCTGCTTTCATAACATCCTCCACAGCTTATACCTCGGTTTGCTGATAGTAACATGTTGATTGAATGAAACTTAACATTGTACTACTACGCTACTAATATATTTTAACAGTGATACTGTGTGTTATTTTAGCTAACATTTGTCAACCCTGGAATCCACAAATTTCTGCTAAAATAAGCATATCACCTGTTCCTTGTTTGTGTTTCTGTTGTGTTTTAAAACACAGTTGTTACTTCAAATGTTCTAATAATAAGTACTGCTCTTGAACAACTGTGGAATAGATGTCACATTGTTTAATCATATGACAATATGCCTTAAATTATTCTATTACAGAATTCATAATGCAAATATCAAATGCAAATTCATATGTACTATAATGTTAAAACAAAGTTGACAGACAGACCTATACCCAACACATGGTTGCTTTTTAACACTTTAATAATAATAAAACTATCTATTGTATAAATGCCACGCTGAAGCATACCATACTTAAATACAGTATTTGGGTAAGTGGACAAGAATTGTATCTAAGAAGAACTTGCTTTACTTATATTTCTTTTAACTGTTACAGGTACAACAACAGCTACAGAATATGGGCATCAATGCCAATGGGCAAGCACAAGGAAATTGGGTGCAGCCAGGTATCCCAGCTGCTGCTGGTGGGGGTAGCCATACATGGGGGCAGACTACAGGGCAGACACTCAGCACAAATCTATGGAAATAAATAGATAACTATTATTGTCAAACAAAATCAATTGTATTTTCACAGTCAAGATAGGTATTAACCTCTCAAATTGATATTATAATTCATTTTTAGCCCTCATTCATCCAAGCCTGTTGAAAATATGAAAATCAAGATTTGTTCATCCTTGATTGGCAGTGATACTGCTTGTAGCCACTGCTGTATGCCTTTGTTGACCACTGAACGTGGGCTGCTTGCATACCTAATACAATAAGAGTTATCAAATAAATAAAAAAAAATTTTAAAAAAACACTTTGTAACTTGAATAATCAGTGTTTGGTAGAGTAAAAAGTATATCAATTTGTATGGATATAAACACAAGGATAAGAATCACTGCAGACTGATATGTCTGCTTCCCTCTAAAAAGCCTGAAATCTCATCTTGAGCCGAGTAAGCAATGTTAGGTAATTCTTTGATTATGTCTAAATTCAAAGTACAATATTTTTTTCTCTATTCCATAAAGATAGTATAAACCTATATATTCCTTTGGATTTAAATGATTCTTTTATATCTTAAATTTTAAGCAATTTTCTTTCCTGAAATTACAGTATATATTTTGGTTAAAAAAAATTACATTTGCTAAAAAACAATAATTATAGAATATATATTGTTAATTTGTTAGGTTTAAGTTTTAGGATTGTTTCATGTTTTGCATGTGAAAATTCAGTGTCTAGGTAGCATTGGATAACTAACTGGATTCAGAAACTTATTTGAAAACTTATTAAAAGGTTAAATTTTGATTTTATTTAGACAACACATAAGATAAATTTATATAAATATATTGTGCTTGTGTTTAAAATAGCCTAAAAAATAACTGGATAAATATGTATGATAGCTTAAAATGTACAAAACCTGGCATTCTATTTTAGTACTTATGTGGAACAAATTATTAAGTTAGTGTATACAGCTGAGAATATAATAGTGGTTGGAATCTTTAAAGCTTAGTTCTAGAGCTAAAACTTGATCAAAGCTATCTCCTCATTGTGTAATGGAATCCCACCATTTAAGCGTTTTAAGATTCTAAAGCTAACTTGGCATTTAGTGGTCACATTTCACTAGTTATTGACACAGTTAATCACTTTTATTGCTATTCCTAACTGTGATGTGTTTTGGGGTGAAAGGATTTATTATCCCAACTTGTATAGTTATTTTGCATTACATGTTGATAGCACACATTCACAAATGTTGCTAGTGATCAGTGGTGGCAACAGAAGTAACCTGATGCTAAGCTGTAAGACCAGGGGCTCTGATGATTTCCGATAGAATCTAAATGGGGTCAATGGATAAGTCCTAGTGGGAGCCCAGGTGCCACGGGCCTTCGTGCCTAAAAGTAAATAAGCAATTTTGGGCCATTTTAAGATGTTCTGAGATATTTTAGCAGATGTGGCTGACAGGGGGTTGGCCTATTGGATTGGGCTTAAGTAGCTGCCTCTCCCACCTTGCTGTTTCCCCCACAGGTACTGGTGCAGCAGATATTTGCAAGATAAACAGAATCACCAGGAATGCATAGGGCCTTTAAAATCAGAAATACGAATGTTTGTATAGGAAAATTGCACATGTTTCAACATTGTTCTTTGATATGCAAATTATAAAAATGTATACTGTAATTGCAATTGTATAGTGAATGTCCTTAGGTGTGCTTGGAATACTAATCTTTGAAATCTTGTAGACAACCTGCAAGGCCTGATTTGTAAATGTGTAATCTTTAACCAATCTTTAAATTGGCAACAAATGTTAGATTTATTCATGGTAGACTATACCTAGAAACAGTTGAAATTTGTAAATATGTTTACGTTTGTACAGAATTATTGGTTGATGTTGTCTTTTTCAAATGTTTTTCTAATCTTGGAAAATGCATTCCATTTGACACCGCTCTACCTTTATTTTTTGACTGTATCAATTCCATCTGTATAGCTTTCGAATTGAGTATTATACCTACCTGTAAATGATAGAATAATTCTATACCCTATTCTAATATTAACTTTACCTTTAAAATAGGTTACAGATTACATCCTATTAATACACTTTGACAAATGAATGTAATCTGTGGCTATGATCAGTGGCTGACTTGCACCAATTTTAAGCACTATCTGCAGGTTGCAGACAAATAAAAAAGAAACATGGGCTCGTAATGTTAACAGAAGGATTACTAATAAAGGGTCATTGGGTTAGAAATTTTGGGGGTATTTCTCTGGGCTTAAAATGTTATCAGTGGTCCATCCATTATCTGAAATGTGATAACAGGTCACAAATTGTGTCTTGGATGTAAATTTAAAATTTGGTGTCACTTTATTTTAGTTAATATTCTGTGAAAAATGTTTAAATAACATAAGGATGCTTTTATGTGAATATTATAACTACTGTACCATTTATTTGATTGTGTTGTAAAAGTATGTCAGCCTGTGTCAAAAAGACAAGCAGCAGTATATTATAGAAATAAACAAAAGTTGAAATATAATGAGTCTTAGTTTGTTTCTGTTTGGTTTATTTGTAAACTGTTAGCAAAAGGCCTCGAAATATGGCTGCTGTTTCCTTGGAAAAACTAAACTTGGCTTGACACATTATGTGAATGCTGGCCAGAATTAATTACAGTAATCCATATGAAATATTGTTTTATTTTTCATCTACAAACAGTGACATTAAAATAAAAGCCATGCCTATTATATAATATATATATATATTTTTTTACTTTTCATTCACTATCCTCAATTGGTTGATAATGTTCTGAATTGAATAGAAATGTTATTACATTATACACATTTGATAAGCTGAAAACAACTTCTACTATGATTATTCTCACTGAAGGCCGATATTTCCATGCGAGGCTCTCAACTAAGCTTTATCGGCCTGTGTAGAGTTGGTTAATAGTGACCAAGCACACACTATTCCAACTGGCAACATATATCAGGTCGGGATGTTTACTGCTTTGACTGCTATCAACCTAGACCAACCTTCTGTACGACAGCCAATAACAAATGACAAAGCAATGATGTTACAATATCCACGTCCACCTTACAAAGGTTGCACCCCTTCTCTTGATTAAAGTCCTCATAGGAATATAAATATCACGACCATGTGCCTTACAACCGCCGATTCACAAGAGGAAAGTCACACATTCCCTCACTAAACTGTGCCAGGTGAATGCCTATTATGGTACTGGTACTGGGTATTTATGTTACGCCTTTCCCTTGCGTTATAAAGCGAAATCCATGTCCATGTAAACATACCTTATATCACAGAAGCCTGTAACACTCCTGAGATATTTAGAAGGACCTGTGTGCATGCTTACAATGTGCAGCTTATATTCACTCTGTGGCATCGCATATTTCTTTACTAACTGCGCACAAATTGTAACAACTTTTAGCAAGGTTTGTATTCGCTTGGTAGGAATATCTCAGGAAATCGGCAACATTTTGCACACATCCAATGTAATATTTTATCTTGTGTGAATTGATTAGTTTTATATTCATACCATTTTAACACCTTTCAAGTTTTGTTGTAGATTTAAAATGATTTTTTCTTGCCGTTTTTCTTCTTCTTTAAAAGCTATTTTATTGGCTTTCTTTGCAAGTCTTCTTTCCTAAAATGATAAGCAAGAAAGATATAGTAATCAACAATAATTTCAACTTGAAATATCAAGCTTTGATGTATGGACCATCGACAGGCACAAAAGAAAAAGAAAAGGATCTAAACCCAAGTACTGTATATATTCCTGCCAATACAGTACATTAATAATAGTTTTCACAGTATCAGTAATTTAAAACCCAGTTTCACTAGGATAGGGGACCCTCATCGCCACAAAAATTGAGAGGGGGTATGATACTGTCTATCAACCTACTGTAAGCATTATTATATTGTACTGCTACATCAACCTTATACTGTAGTTCTTTACAATAATAAACAGACCAAAGGAATCACATGGATTGGCAGCTAACTTAACCTACTCCCGACCAATTTTCAACTTTTTATAGCTCTTTAAAGCCACTATCAAATTTTATGTGAAAAATAAATGTGATATGCCCATATTTGGATGTACAGTAATATGACATCATCATGCACACATATGGGCACCATCACACACATTTTTCACATAAACTTTGATAGTGTGGATAAAACTTTAGCAAAATAATATAAAACAAGATACAGCAAAATAAAATAAAACAAGATACAGCATCTGTCTTAGAGATTTATCTTAAAGGTTCTTTTTCTCAATACAGTACTGGCCTATGATTAGTGTACAGTTAGCAGACATTGGAAAAACACATTAAAGTCTCACTCCGGAGGAAAAATATTTGTTGATACGTTGTACAACTGATTTTTTTAAGACACAATAAGCATATTTGACGAAAAACTTGGGATCGGTTTAATGAGAGACAGATTTTGAATATTAAAAAACTAGTGGAAAAAGGGGCATAACCACCATTTTTTCTACCTTTTCCCACAGTTTTTAAATGTCCAAAAATCTGTATCTTTTTTTTCCATTTCAACTTTTTTATTGCCAAAAACAAAAAAAATATACACAACTGGCAATAGAAGGTTAGAAAATAGATTTCTCTAGTCAAGTTTAACCACCTTTACAAATTACACAATTAATTATTACTATTATCACCAGAATAATAATAATAATAATAATAATATTAATAATAATAATAACAGTAATAATAATATAGATAACAAAAGAATATACTTAATATTATATTATTAATTTTAACCATTCTGCTAACAGAATATTCGGTGGTCATTGACATAAATTAATTACGTTGACACTTAAGCAAACAAGACAGTAGAACTTATTGTTAATAGTGATATTAGGATATTAGTGTCAAGAAATAAATTTTAAAAATCTTGCTTTCTTCTTCAATAAGGATTTTACGGTATTTGAACTGTTTATTATTTTATAATTTTTTAATTGCAGTATCACAATTCATGAGTAAATATAGCATGCTAATTTGTGTTGCATTCATCTAATAAAATATATTTAAATTGTTTTATAAAGCAATACTACAAAATTTTATTCCATGATTTTGCCCCTTCAAATCCGATACAAACTTTCCCTAAGAAATACAAGGTTGTGGAATGGCTAAATTAAACAGGTTGTTAAATCAGTTACCATGAGATAGATCAACAGTTAAAAAGTAATCATTCAAATTATGAGGAGTTCAATTATGATAAATATCAGAAATAAATTTAAGAACATGTAATCTGTGACAGTGTAGCTTATAAATATCTAAAATTGTAAGTTCATATCCCTAACTTTTCGTTAAATAATCTTTTTGTGTCTTAAAGAAATCAGTTGTAAACATACAATATTTTTTCCCCTCCAAAGCCTGGCTATCCCATCTAAACTCCAACTGACCAAAACATGCTGGGTTTATCTTTTTCATGTAGTAATATTCTCTGCCCCAGCACCTGTTCCAATACTGAATAACTGTAGGCTTTTACTAGTTTGAACACCAGGTAAAAAAAACATTATCTGGGCCAGATTCAGCCTTTGAAATGATTTATCTTCTATTTTAAAAGGTCAACCTACTTTTCGTTCGGCCTTGACTACATCTTTTCTTTGTCGTTTTTCCTCCACAGACTCTTTCTGACCCTTTTTCCTTGCTGGCAGTGATTGTGTTGTAGGTACCTGCTCCTCAATTATCATCTCCTTCTCTATCTGCTTCCTGGTTGGTCCTTTCTTATCCAGTACGTCCAATGGCATTCCACTCTTCTTTGATAGCTTGATCTCATTATGTTTCTATTTTAGGTAATTAATGAAGGCTTCATCAGCATATCTAACAGTAATATGTGCTTCATGCCCTACCTATGAAACTCACATTTGTTACTTTTATATTTAAGATATCTCTTAGAATTATTAAGTGGTTATACAGTATTTTTATTTGATATGATATAACTATAGAAAATATTACTTGATACAAGAAATAGTATAATGTAATTTTTAGTATAATGTTCATTTCTATGTTTTACTATCAATGTGTTACATTTCAAAAGCCCTTGATGTTAACCCTTTCCAGTTGTATGGCGTCGTGACGACGCCATCTTTGACCATACTTTATAGCGAGGGGCGTACGTACGCCCTGTATAGATTTCGTGATAATTTTTTTTATAGCTATGCTGCCCTCTATAGGATTGTTTGAGAGTGATGTAGGAGTATTTCTGTAGAGGGCCTCCTGTATTCAGACCAAATAAAATGCCTGCGCTCAGTAAAAACCCGACATTTAATGTAAATGATGTAATTTCTCAGCTTTGGTACAGCCTAAGGTAATGGTAATGGGGCAGACTGGAAAGGGTTAATGATGTAGCTTGAGAAGATTTTTCTAAAATAAATAGGGATATTCTAACAGAAAATAAACTGTAGTGCTGTACATATTTCTGCAGTATATTAATATTCCTAATGACAGTTTCATAGTTTTCACAGTATCAGCAATTTAAAACCCAGTTTGAGTAAGATAGGTGACCCTCATCGCCACTGCTGTTGCCTGGTGTTACATCACTGCCTTGGGATGGAAAAGGTGTGAGGTTGCTTGGTCTTGATCAAGATTTGAACACAAACCAAGCAGGATTGCCAGGGTAAATCAAACTATCAAATCATCAGATATCTAATTCATCATGTCCATATACATAAAACAAGGCAGAGATGAGGACCATCCTAAAAGTCAAGCTTGCCTTGGTTGGAAAGAAAAAAGTACATATAGAATGTTTTCAAAAGCAAAAGTATACACTGTAACAAGATCTTACTTTTGATGGTTCTGTAATCATTTTTGGATGGTTGTACAAGTTTGAGTAGGTGCTCAATATTGATTCGCAATCCCATTTCTCTTTCGGGGGTTCCACCACAACTTTCTCAAGGTCATCCTCTTCATCTGAACCTGATTCACAATCAATGATTTTATCTCTTGAGTCATCAAGATCTGTTATAGTACTAGAAGCAGACATTACAAAATGGTAAGTAGTCATTGCTGATATCCCTGTACAACTTATATCCTCTAATCAGTGCAATGGGAGACCTAACAAATAGTGATTTGGTTCACTGTTTAGGAATCCTGTCTCTGCCTGTTTGTGTTCACTTTTTTCTTTTATTGTGCATGTTTTGAGGTGTAACCTGTTGTATATCTCTGAGGTATAATAAATGAAATGAAATCCTTATTGTGTTTCTACTCACATTTTAAAATTTCCTTGAAATGTTTAGATTTATCTACATTTTAAATATCTATATTTATCACTGCATAAAAGATACTGTGTGTCGGAGACAAACAATAAAAGATGAATTGACGTGTTTCGGAACATAAATATATTTTATTATAACGAATATTTCGTCCTCATCCTAAGGACTTCATCAGCGTAACTGATTCACATTGCAAAGGGCTTAGTAATTATACAATAGAGGCTGGGTAATTATACAAACATATTTTATTAGAGCACAAACATTTCGGCCGTCCCTGCAACCTTCGTTAGAGTGTAGATGTGTATAAGAGACAGGTCGTGAACAATGCCCCTATCTTTGTTAAGGCCGTTAATATGGGTTTTTAAGCGATGAATCCATTTGGTTTCCTCGCACCGTCTGTCCTTAGTGGATTTGAAATTGGAGCGTATTATAAGGAAGCGCATATCGTTAATATCATGGTCAAGAGAATTGAAATGCAAAGATACAGTGTGATTAGAGTCCTTATTTCTAATGGTATCACTGCATAAATATTCTACCATCCTTTTTATAGTATATATTCACCCTGATGTTCTGCTTTGTACCCCATTGGAAATAAATTAACGTTTGTTGATTTTATGGGTCATCCATTGCATCCATTCTCTGTTTAAACAGCCAATTTTTCTCTATAAATTGTATGTCATTGTTTTTTTTCTATGTTGTATTGTATTTGAATTGTTGCTAAATAAAGTGAGATTAAATACTGTGGCTGTGTTTTGTTTTGTTTCTACAAACAACTGTGTATGCAGTGTTGGCTCTAGGATATATTTTCTGGGGAGTGGGGCTGAGATGATATTTTTTTAAGAATAGGGACCTCTGGATTGCCAGAAATGACACTCTCGGATTGTGACAGACATGTGTTGGCTTGGCGTGGGCCTTTGTGCGATGGGGGTTTGACCTGTCCGGTAGGGGGAGCCACTGTGTGTATGGCGTAGATGCCAAGCTATTATTGGTATACTTGCAGGAATGTAATACAACATAAGGAGAAATCTACTATGGCTAATGGCTAACTAAAAAATTTAATGTTCTTGATGTGAAATCAACAGAACAGCAAATGCACATTTTGAATAGTAGAAATATGTTTGACCTTACATGATGAAGCAACATATATTTCATGCATGGTGCTATATAAATGGAATTAAATACAACTTGTCAATCAAACTTACCACTTTTTCTGAGATTTTTCAAATTCTGTTAAAACTTGGTTTAAAATGGCACTATCTGTTCCTATGTGTCCCTCCATTTCATCATGATCCAATGCACCAATTTCCATATCATTATATTGTTCAAACATCTGTAAAAGTAGGGTTACAATTGTGTTAAATACTTAAATTTAAACCCCCTAAATTAATATATTAAAATGAAACAAAATACAAGAAAATACAATTGAGGAATGTAAAACATTCTATATAGTACAGCAATATCAAAAATAGCATTATCCAAAGAGACCAGATGGGAGCATCATTCAAGCGGTCGCTTTATCAAACATTATAATTACCAGTTTTAGTGATTTTTTGTTGCAATTTTATTGCCATTTTGCTGCAGCGCATAGAGGTGATGCAGCTTGCTTTAAACAGATTAGTAATTTTAGAAGGGATATAATGAAGGGATTAGAAGGAATTGTAAAAGGGATTGCAGTGGAGTTAAATAGCTTGGTGGTTAAGATGCTTGCTATCCAATTCAGGATCCTGGGCCTCAATTCCTGTCACTGGAACAGGATTTTTTCCCACGACCAAAACAACCTCACTTCCTAAGCCTCATAAAGAGACTTGTAGAGCATCTTGTATGTCTGATGTTGTCTTGAGAATGGATTTGCCACTTAGAAAAGTGATTAAGTTCGTTGTTTGGCATATCCTTGACTTAGTGCTTCTGATATATTTTACCTGTTCAAATTTATCGTCCAAAAACGTGAGACCCTCATTTCGTCTTATCACAGATGATGACATTGAGTAATTTGTGAAATGAGATTTTGTCTCAACCGATCTGAACGTGAATTGGTCGTCATCATCGAAACTGTCATCCTCCTCATCCATGTAACACCCATCTGAAGCATCATCGACTTCCTCAGACCCACCGTCATCAGATGACCTGGTTTGGTGTGGGAAAGGAAGAGAGGGATTAAAGAAGGGAAAATAAAAGATATACGCAATTTTGTATATATTCAAAATTTAGTATCATCCCTATACCTCTATTAGCTACTAAGATTAGTTGTGATTTAGGCATTTAGCCTATGATTTTGCAATAAGTAATGTTTAATATTGTTTATAGTACAGTATTAGTATTTCTCTTTTTTGATGCTAGAAATAGTTCGGAATTTGGTAGAAAGATTAAAGTTGAGGATCAGCTTTTCTAAAGAGAATATCTGCATCATCAATGAAAATTATGAAAATTCAAAAACATTCTTAGTTAAGAAACCCGAAACATACTTGTAATTCAGATTCTATAAATTGTACTATTCTCTTTATTTTTAAGTAAGCTTATAAAAAAACTAAAAATATTCCTCCTTCTTGGTTAATTTTTGTCCTACTTAAACCACAAGTTTGGTGTTTACTATACTTGACTTTTAACAACTTTTTTTTTTATTGATATACCATTGTCATTATTGATGAGGTAGAAAAAGTCACTATGTATTTCTATACTATGTCAAAATTATGTAAAATAAAGATGTGAAAAAAGTATATTTTTTATGTAATATTTATCAGAAACTAGTAATAATGACAATAAATATAAATGTTATTATTACTCATCATGCATGTTGTCATTGGCTCCCTCAGCCATAGCTTGCAGCATGAAATCGTCATCAAGCTCATTGCCTGGATCATCAAAATCAGCATCTCCATCCAGAGCTGCTACAATATCTGGATCCCAGTCTACCAGTGGACCTGCAAAAAGATTCAACTGTCAGCATACAAAGTCATTTTTTTCAGGCACTTAAAATATTTTGCAAATGAAAGAGCTGGCTTTGTATAGAAAATATTTTAAAGCAAATATCCATTTTTTATTTTATGTTTGATTATACACTACCACAGAGAACCACCTGGTAGTTTACTTATTTTGGAAAATCCCATCTGGCTAATGCTGTATAAACATTTTAACTGTCTTGCTTTTGTTTTTATCTTTGAAAGATAACAATTACATTTGTTGTTGACCATTGAAATGTGTGTCTATTAGGCATTGAGGAAAAAAACCGTAATAGCTTATGAACATACCATGCACTGGAGCTGCTTTATTCAATAATCCAACATCTTCTTCCGTCCTTGAGGGGAACACCGACCCTGGCAACTGGAGTTTTGGCAAAATCTTAAAGTAAAACACAAAACATACTAAATTCATTAAAGAACACCATCTCTAACATCTTCTTTGTAATGATCATAGTCACCATCATCACCACCTTCATCCAGTGTCATCATTGTCATTCTGACAGTCGCTTCTGGTGCCATAAATTGTCACTGTTGTCATCATCTTTGTCATTTCTTTACTTACTGTATATCACCATCACTGCCATTGTCATTAGTATTATCATATCTTTGTGATCAACATAATTATCAGCATCATCAACATCAATATTTGTGTGTTAATACAATAGCTTTATATTATTGTACATTTTTAAGCTCTTTTTCCTGAACAATTTGTTGTTATTCAGTTTTTTAAGCATTTGATTAAACAATGAAAAGGAATTGAAAGAACGGCAAAAGTACCTCTACATCTTCTCCTGGCTTTGAAACTTCTACCCATTCAACTTGAGGCTTACTCTCTTTTAAATGTTGTAGGTAGTTGTAGTCATCATCATAGAACACTCCAAATTTTCGTTCTTCCTCCTTTTGACGTTTGACATCCTCCTTTGACTATACAAGAGAAACATCAGATTGTTGCAGTAATAATGTTATGTATATTATGTTTATTTTGTTCAATAGCATAATGCTATTAGTGCATGCTTCAAAAGCTTATACCATATTTACTCAACGTTCCGACTTAATATTTAGTCATCATCAGGAATAACATATTTACAAACATACAGTAGTGAGCATAAGTACCAGAAATGCTAGATAATTGTTTAGAGTACAGTATTAGTATATTATTTCTTTAACAATCACAACTACTGTGTGAAAATACTTACCTTGTCATTTGGATTTTCAGTTTGAAGTAGAACAAATTTGGAACTTTCTTCATCAGCTTGAAGTGGATCTTTTTGACTGCGATGAACTAAATGGAAACTAACTGATTTGTTCTTGTCGATAAACTTCTTTTTCTTCTTTCCCTAAAAGGAAAAGTAGTATTAGTATAGCCTAGTAGGCCTAGGCCTATTAATAGTATACAGTTAAACTTGGTTAAGTCGACTTTGCCAAAGTCAAATAATTTCTAATTCGATCTTATTTTACATGCCAAATCATTGTTTTTTACTTAACAATCTGTAAGTTGAATTATATCTTTTAAAGTCGAATTAAATCTTAAGTTTTTCAGTGCCATTTTGGATTCGACTTAGGCAAATTCAACTGCCAGTATTATTATAGTAAAACTAAAAGTAATATGCTTGACAAAAATACTCACTATTTTAAAGACATGATCACTCACTGTGTGATCAAAATCTCGTTGACCAAAACCTATCAAAATATGTTTACATCTTATACCTAGGATAAAAGTAGAGGTACGATACGGTGGCCTAATGCTAGCTAGGCCTAGGCCTTATGTCTCCATGTCATGACACGTGTTTGGGCATTAACTTTTGTCTTTATCACTTCCCGCTGTGTTACGTGTATGGCCTACCTAGCTAGAGGTAGGCCTAGGCTAGGCCCTATTCTATACTACTAAACTGCAAAACTTAGTTAAGTTCCAAAAACAATTTACAGCAATACCACGGAAATCACCATCAAAACTTACTGGCATATTTAATGGAAAAAAATATATAACGGAATCAGAAAAATAACCAGTGTTTACCGCTCTGCCTCTGCAGCTAACATGCAAATTCGAGCGAATACCAACTCGAGCGGATGATGAAAGGCAAAGTGAAAGACATCAATGTATCAAGCGGCTGGATTCTAAGTCTATTTTGAGATTCCAATATCAAAAATAATAAAATGGCGCCGATTTCACAGGTAGGCCTAGAAATTCCTTAGTTACTTACTTACTTATTATTACTTTGAATTAAAAGATATCGTATGGAATATGATACTTATGAATAAATAGTTTCTTTCTGAACCTGAACCACTGCTTAACGTATAATTAAGTAAAGATGTGGTTTTAACCACCCTAGTTACCACACAAACAACAGAACAGGGACACTCTGTGACAGACAGTGAGAGTGAGTGAGTGACTGAATAAGCCTGCATAGCTTAGGATAGACCTTCTTAGCTAGTAAGGTTAGGCCAGCTAGTACCTAGTTACCAGAGTGCTTCGCTAGGAACGCTCTGCCCATCCTCTGTTGTTATTGACAAATTGACATAATAAATGCTGATCATTTCATATATTAATACTAATAGGCCTAGGTAGTATTAATACTTTCTGACAAGAAAGGCCAAGGTCCTCAGCCTACTATTTTAGAGAGGCTAGGCCCCTAGGCCTAAATTAAATAAATAGGCCTAGCTAGGCGGCTGGGCTAGGACTGCAGTGGCTATTGTTACACCAATCTTAAACCAATTCTTAATTCTAATTGATGTTATCCCATACAGTGTCAAATCAGAATTAGGAACTTGTTTAACTGGTGTAACAATAGCCACTGCCTTAATATTTAATATTAAAAAAAAAAATGGACCCCTAGTAAATAACCAGCTCCATGCAAATACTATGTCTCATTATCTTGTCTTGTTTGTGAAATGAAAACCATAAAAACTCAAACACATACTGTACAGTTATAATATTAATAGAACAATCGCATAGTTGCCAACTTACAGATTGGCCGTAAGACTCACGGATAATTTGCCATTTACCAGTTTTACTACGGATGAACAAAAACTCAGATTTCAAGGTTACTCACAGATCAAGATTTTTAAACTAATAAACAATGATTTGCGAACTGCATAACAGTAATATGCAATAAATAGATCATTTGCCATTCGTCTGCAGTGTTTATAGTGTAGCAAAGAGTTATCCTAGGCTATGTGCAAGCCCTGTACGCATGACATTAGAATCCACCGCGCACCATGCACCGCGCATGGTTTGTTTGTTTGTTTATCAGTTTTCCACATGAAAGTACTGTCTGTACATCGTGATTCATGAATAAAGTGAGTCCATAAAAAATGTTTTAATTTTACACTAAAATGGTCTTGAGGCTTTAAGAACGACTTGGTACATAACTCAGTTATGAAGAACTTGGCTGGTTGTTGGAAAAGTTAACCTAAAAGCATTGCTTTTTGTTTCCCAGGACAATATGGACGAAAAAGGGCAACGGACAGCTGTTGTATTCAACATATCCAAGAAAGAAATCTTCACACCAAATAATGGCTTCAAGAGCCTAAACAAGAAACTTCGCTCCAATTGGAAGATACTAATGTAAACTTGCATTGTTGTCATTTAAAAAAAGAAACCTAGTTATTATATAGACAGACTTAAACCTGAACCAATTCTTGATATTTTTAAATTGTTTTATTTTTTTTTTTATTTCATGATTTTTTATACTCTCTTTTACAGACAGAAAGATGAAATCACCGAAGACAGGCTTGCCAATTGTAAAGTATTCATAATTGCAGGTCCAAGAGAAAAATTTACAGCACCTGAGGTAAAAACAATAATAATAATAACAATAGTAAGCATTTATGTTGCCCCATTAATTAAACTGTATTCAAGAACATTGTTCACATGCACACAACAAAAGGCACCATTTATTTTCAATTTAAAAAGGTTACAAAGTTGAAATATTCAATTCACAGAATTAGCAAATGATTTGACAAAAAAAAATGGAATTAGGTGGAGAAAGCAAACTTTTTTTAGATGAAGTTAAGTTAGTGTCACTGATATTACAATAAATGTAATAAACAGACTAAAAAACAAACAGTTTGAAAAAAAAAAAAAAAATCAAATACAAAAGACCATTTTTTATTCTCCTGAATTGTGGTTGCGTGAAATAAAACCTGTTTTAAAGGTTACAAATGTTCAATTTGTGCTTGTAATTTAGTACTTTTTGAATATCAAAGAATAAATAAACAATTAAATATTGTTAAACTATTATTCCAAATTCAAATGAATAGCTCTTAACAATATTAAATTACCTAAATAGTTATTTAACATATTTATATTGATTTGTTTATATTTATATTTTCCATCTCAGTTTGAAGCAGTCAAGAAATATGTAGAAGATGGGGGAAGTCTGCTGGTGTTGATGGGAGAAGGAGGAGAAAGTAAATTTGATACCAACATAAACTTCTTATTGGAATACTTTGGAATTATGGTAAACAATGGTAAGATATGATTTCATGCAATAAACAAGTAGAATACAATAGAATGAATTATGGTGTCAAAAGTATGCTTACTTCTTTAATGCCAAGGCAAACATGAAAAATTATCTTGCCTAAAATCAGCTGTTCTTTAATTCTTTATATTGGATTTTTATCTAATCCAAGCCTTGTTCATATGGAGCTCATATGCAGCTCACTGGGTAAGACTAGGCCATATTCCAAGTAGCTTTTTACTACTGTACCAGTGTAAACCACTACAAATCTAAATATGTAACTTATACATGATTTTTTTTATTTGTTATATTGAAAATCATTTTTTGGATTCAATATAAAATATATTTGGATCTATATTTTTAATATTCTTTAAAAAGTATGAAATGGTATAACTTAAGCTTGGTTTCCATAAAATTTCTACACTAAGACATTGACTACATTATTTTGAAACGGACTGCTGTCTTCCCTTTCTAGACATATTGCCAATTACACCTAAGCCCTTTTCAGACAGGGCTGCAATACTGCACTGTTGTGGTAACCACAGGTTTCTGTCTGAAAGGGTTGATACGCCAATATGCCGGCTTAATTTAGACCACCTCGCACCCTAGTAATATTACCGCAATTTTGCAGTAACAGGTTCTGGCTTGCTCTGTCTGAAAGGGTCAACTCAATATTGCGGCAATAAGCTGGCATGTGCGTTTATGCATAAACAAAAAAGGTTTAAAGTTGAAAACAATTGCGTGCGGTGGTATTTAATATTTTCATTTCTATTCGCGGGTTGTCAAAAAAAAAAGCTCCCATTTATGTTGCCATGGTGAAAACTATTGTACTGTATTACCAGTTCTCTGCTTGTCTCTGTTAGACTCTGCTGTACGGACATCTTATTACAAATACTTCCACCCTAAGGAAGCATTGATATCCAATGGTGTCTTGAACCGAGCATTCAGCATAGCAGCAGGAAAGACATTACCCAACATGTCCGAAGAGGACTCATCTGCACATGCTCAGTAAGTCTACCAATGTTCTAGTACATTGCAATTTAATGTGTGTCCAGGTGGGCAAAGTTGACCCCTAGAATGCCAGAAATTTGAGTAAACAGAGGGAAGAAAAGAGTGAAGAAATTTGAGCACAATACTAGGAAAGGTACAAGGCAACTTGCAAGTCTTGTTAAGAAGTAAACTAACTTGGTATCAGTACATTAATTATTGTTAAAATGATCACTGACATAAATTGCCATTAATATATATTTTAATTAACTCATCTGCGCCAGTAGCATTGCCCCAGATTTACAAGTGCACAAATTTGTTAATTTGGTAATTACTTAGTTTTTCTTTACTCTCAGAGCACTGACCTATTTGTATCCGTACGGAGCAACTCTTAATGTAGACAAATCAGCAATAGCAGTCCTCTCTACCGGAAGTGTTTGTTTTCCTCTCAACAGACCAACCTGTGCATTACACTCATCAAAGGTAGGCAAAAAAATGATTGCCTGTTTGACTAGCATAGATTTTTTGTAAACAATTTTTGTTCTAGTCTAGTTTATTATTGTTTATGTGTGTTTGGCAAAAATTGTGTGATTGATAACTTGATGGAGGTTGTTTTTAAATTTGAGGTGTACTAATTAGAAGGATTAATTTAGGTTATTCACTTTACAGTTTCCAGATAAAACCAGGAGTTATGTGACTGTAAATATTTTTCAATTAACACCTCGAATTATATTCCTTCAGTATTCTAAAGGTAAAGTTGCAGTGCTTGGGTCAGTGCACATGTTTCAAGATCAGTACTTAGATAAGGAGGAGAATAGTAAGATTATGGATGTGATATTCCGATGGCTGACCACAGATGAAATCACGCTGAATGCAATAGATGCTGAGGATCCAGAGGTACGGTAGATTGTAGAGAAAATAAAAACACAAACATGACGTTTGGAGAATAGGGATGTGGAATGACTGAAGGCGAAAGAATGTCAAAAATTATTATGCATAATGTAGTGCTTTTGGCAGTTTAGAAACCTGATTGAAAAAGTTCTAATTTACCAAAGGGAATAATTGAATACTAATACAATAATTACTTTACTTGTTTTGGTTATTAATTAAGAATTTGGAATGATGATAATGATGATAGATGACTATTTATAATTTATTTCAATTGAATTATTGAAGTTTAAATCATTATTATTTACATAAAAATGCAAGATACACTTAATGACAATATGTGATGATGGTGATGTTAGTGGTAAGATGTTAGGTGATGTTGATGATAAGATGATGACTTGCTGTTGGTGATAAGACAAGTTGATAATATTGTACAGTATAAGGAGTGATGATAATAAGGTAATAAGTTATGTAAATGCTAAAATGATGATGATTTTAATAAAATTCTTTTGCAAATTTCACTGCCAGAACCTTTACACTTAATGTTATATAATGTATATTCTACTATTATTAGATTAATGACTACAACATGCTACCAGACACTGCAAAACTAGCAGAACGACTTAGGTCATGCCTGCAAGAGAACGATGATACGCCCAGGGACTTTAACGCCCTGTTTGACGACACACTCTTTAAACTAGACACAACCGTCGTGCCTAAAGTATTGAAGTATGTACTTGTCTGTTATTTTAGATATAATAATAAAGTTGATCTTGTGCCTTCATTTAGGCATGATGGTCAGAAGAGACATCTTTTACAGCCAATTAAAAGATTAAGAGCTTAGGATGTCCATTTTATTAGGTGTAAATAGCTGAATGAAATTCTTAGTCTAAAATGCCATGAACAGAGCCATTCTGACAGCTACGATAATGGCGGCAGCAACGATGATTACAGTGACAGCCAGCAGATGAAGATGATGACGAATATAATAACGATAAAAATGATACAAAAACGACAAAAAGCGTTTTACAGTAAATTATAATAATGATGACAACGATGATAACACAGCAGCAACAAATAAATATTGCATATTTAATAATAAGGATAACAGTAATTGTTAATAGTGTTTTCATTTACAAAGAAATATATTTTTTACTGTATTTCTGTCTTAACCAGAGCTTACGACCAGTTGAAAGTGAAACATGGACAGCTAAAGTTGATCCAGCCAAGCTTTGAAGTGCCTCTACCTGCACTACAGCCAGCAGTATGTTTCATCATAAACATTTACTTTTTCTGCTATTACTACTAAATATACAGCCAACAATAATTTTAATTTCAAAATTTTGAATGTCATGAAATGTATTAACTTGCATATGCAAATAAAAAGTGTTTACATCCTATGATAGACTATCATATGACAGAAAAAAAAAATCTTTTTATCATAGAAAATTTAATTTGCTCGCAATAGGAGAGTTGCTTTTTATTTAAAAAGAAGAAGATTCCTGAACAAAGTTGATTATATAAAAACATAATTTGAGTCATTTGTAGTAAAAGACTAGTAGAAAATAAAACAGTTTATTTAAAAAAAAAACAAAAAAAAAAACATTTCAATATACATACCAAAACCTACAAGGAAAGCCATTAAAATGAAGAGAAAAACAAAAGCAATTAAAAAGCAATAATAATAAAATACATAAAACAAGGACAACAAAATGAGATGTAAGAACACTACAAAAGCTCAAGTAAAAAAACACAGAAGCTGATTCCCTTAGTGATCCCTATCCCCCAGATGTTCCTTAACATCCTTAAAATCTTGACAACCTTTTTGTTATCTTTGGGTAAAGCATTCTTTTTTATGGCTCTATGTTGGTGGAAGGATTACCTGCTTTTTAGATGAAGTATCGACAATTATTTTCAGAAAAAGATCTTCTAAATATGAAAACAAATGTGTAAAATTTTATTAGTTTTCTTTAGCAATAATAATATAGTTTATTGTCGTGCAATATTTATATAGGGAGTAAGGTTGTATTTACAGTGGTACTATAAATACTTTTGCAGGTTTTCCCACCAGAGTTTAAAGGATTACCTCCACCAGCACTGGATCTGTTTGATCTCGATGAGGCTTTTTCATCTGAGAAATCAAGGCTTGCACAGATAACCAACAAATGTAAGATAATGAAAAAAAATATGACTAAAGCTGTGTTCCCATTGGTCAAACTAATCATGTACCTCATCACTGTGACATAATCCAGTGTGAACAGCCTAGATAACTTTTCCACGGGCAAATTATTCAAGCCATGCTAGGTTTAAACAAGCGAATGTTGCCCAGGCAGAATAACCAGCCCAATGTGAACAGTGTCACTTGGTTAAAGTTTCTTGACGTGCTACTACCGTGCATTTCTGAATTTTTCATACAATCTATCAATGATTAAACTGACCATACCTGTGCACTATAATCCTACTGTTGTTTATCCACAGTCTCAATGTCAGTAAACGCTGCTCAGTATTTTTAATTGCGAACGGCAGTACGATATGACCAAGTTATCCTTTGTCTTGGTCAAAAAATTAATACAATGCAAACCTGACATTGGTTTTATTATTAAATTAAAAGTAAATATCTTAGTTCACTGAAAAATAATGAATCGTGACTTTTTTAGCAGTTTTCATTTGCCTACACAAAGTAATGTATAGTGATTGTTATAGCAGAAATGGGAAAAAAAGGATTGAACTATTAACAAATAAATACAACTAACCTGATTTTATTAAGAAAATACATTATCACTTTGAAAAACGTATGCAATTTGACTTTTGTGACATTTGTACTTTGTCGATGATGACATCATCAAGATCAAAGATCATTTGTAAAATCGACTATTCGTAAAATCGACATTTGTAAAACGGGCGTTTTACTGTATGTGTATAATTTCAGGTAATGACGATGATCTTGAATACTATGTACGGGAATGCGGTGAGATCTTGGGAGTTTCCAATAAGTTGCCATCAGACTCACGGAATGCAAAACATATTCTGGAGCACATTTTTGCTCAGGTTGTTGAATTCAGAAAATTAAATCAGGTGAGCAAATCTTGAATAAATTCTATAAATAATTAGAATTACATTTTTCATATCTATGTCATTTCAAATTGAAATTTCGGCTGGGCTGCTAGGGACAAGTGTCAGTGCAGTTCCGGTGGTGACATGTAACGGACACATAGTCCTTTGTCCCGTCTAACCTTCATGTGACTGTGAATCGAGGAGCTGAGCGATCAGTCTTTGATTAAAGATCAGCACTAGCCCCCAGCTGCAAAAAACACGAACAATACCTTTCAGCCAAACTTAAAATTTGACATATTATTTTCCTTATTTTACTGTACTATTGTTTTTTTTTTGCAGGAGGATAGTGATAGTGGAAGGTATTGAAGTATTCCACCATACGATAAAGAGGATGATAGTGATGATGGTGACATATTCACAACAAGTGCAGTAAACAACATTCCAAGACCCTAACAGTGTACAGTACATTATATTCTTTGAAATACTAGCATTGTTGCTATTTTCTTTTCTTTTTTCACCATATTTATAAGAGATGACCCTCCTAGTTTATCCTAAAAGGTCAACGGCTCTTTTATGATATGATGTTATAAAATAAGTCTCAATACGAGGCTTTAGGAGTTGACATATTTTTTTGTTGTTGAGAATACATCCTGCTGTCACACAAGATTTGGACCCAGGACCCTGGCGTGGAAAGGCAAGCACTATGACCATTAAGTTAACCAGGAGTTTAATGGTTTGGGGTTCAGGGGGTTGAGAAGAGCTGGACTCCCACAATGATATAATTTTTTTTAAACATTAGTGTTATTAACATTATTGTTACATTTTATTAATCATATGATATTAAGATCATAATAACTGTTAAAAATATTATAATTGATATTGTATATTGTTTTAGTATAGTATAATTAACATAAGTAATTGTGACAATAATGCTGATATTAAACAATAGTTATTATATAAAATAAAATATTTATAGTGTCCAGAATTTCATCAATAATTTTTTCTTAGCATATCCTGGTACCCTTCAAAATACTAATACTAAAGTTTACAGTTTATTTTTTACAGTAATGTAATATAATAATACTGTATAGTATATTGACCTGTTTGTCCAAACTCATATTTTATATTTTTCAAAATTTACTCTGTCATTCCATTTATTAAGTTATAGCTTAATTTATACAATGCTAATTGCTAATAGCATGTTCAAGTAAGTTTACATCTGAAATAGTGTAAACCAATTGAATACCATATACTGTACATAGGCGGATTTGGGGCGGGGGAAGCCTACCTGGGCCTTCACCACCAACGATTTTCTGAAAATTTTAAAAAGAAATAGGGACTAAAAAGTAAAATTTTAAGTCCGAGAGTGGCATTTCAGACTACCTCTAGCTCCCATAGACATACAATTTCATACCTTGATACCCACACTTGTTGGAGCCAAGTTATCTGGACTGGTATTAATGAAAACTTATTTGTAGTTCTTTTCTAGCTATCATTATATTCGTATGTACAGTACATTTTAATTGCGAGCTTTAAAATTTTTTTTGAGATGACACACTTCTCGACAACCTATTGACAGGTAGAGAGCATGCGTAGAAGATTACTCTATTTAATTTGAGCCAACAAAAAATAGGATGACATTGTGATGCTTTAAATGTGTTTTGTATTTTGATTTTTGTGTATATAGAAATAAAGTTAGCTTTATAGTGAAATATATTGTGGGTTTTTTTTTTTTTTTAAATTGGATATGAGATGATACTGTATAAAACAGTACTGTACTAACATTGAGGTTAATTTGTTTCTTCATGCATACATTATCAACACAGAAGTATATTCAGAATATTAACATACCATACAAATCGTATTAGGACGGTATTAAAGAGAAGTTGAACTTAAATACCGTCTTTTGTTTGATGTTTTAGAAATCCATTACGAATATCAAATTTTAACAACAAATTATATAAACCCTTTAATTATACTATTGCGAGTAAAGTTTTCGATAATCATTGTAAATTACTTTTAACGATGGCATGGAAAGAATGAAATGAAATATATAATACTTTTCTATTGCAAGACTAATATGTCTGTTTTTTTTTGTTTTTTTTTAGCCTAATGTTATTGATTTAAATTTACAATATTTAGTCTGTTATATGTATGTGTTTGTGTATGTATGTGTATATGTATGTATGTATATGTGTGTGTGTGGGGGTGGGGGTTGGTGTGTACGTGTGTGTGTGTATATGCATGTATGTATTGTGTGTGTATGTATGTATGTATATGCATATATATATATATATATACATATATATATATATGTATGTGTATATGTATGTATGTGCATATATATGTGTGTGTATGTGTATTAACCTACTTACTTATATTGTTAGTATTAGTATTTATTATTATCTCTATTACTATTTTTGTAAACCCTTTTTTATGTATATTTCGTTTTACCGCAGTATTTTCTTACTATATTCAATCACAGTAATTAAGTTTTTACTGATTTTGTTATTGTTGCACATCTTTGTGCCTCTGTTATAAAAGAGAAGCAATAAAGTTACTTACTTACTTACTAGGACCGTAAAACCTCGAATACAAGCACTGGGCTTCTGTTTTTGCGACCTTTGGATGCATGGGCTTCTTTTCGAGATTTGCTTCTTTTCGAGGCTACTTTTGCAAAGTAAAGTGTTGGGGTGGGGTTGGCTTCTTTTCAAAATAAATGCTGTAATGTTTTGAGAATTACTACTATAAAACAACAAAGAGGGTCACTGTAACATCAGTCGTATCTTGGATTGTATTAACTGTATAAGTCAAGTGTGTTTCGGGGCGTGTTTTTAATTGTTTATTTTGTTTTTGTTTCTTTTCTTTAATTCATGCACAGTGTATGTAGATCGAGTGTACTATCTCGAAAATGAGCCTCGGATGGGCTTCTTTTCGAGTCTAATTTTGCAAACTAAAGAGTGGTCTTCAATACGGGGCTTCTTGAGATTAAGCCCATTGGCTTCTATTCGAGTTCCCACGCTATACCGGTACTGTTTTACAATCGAACAGGTTTTATCGGTAACAGGTCAAAACGGAAAAAAACCAAAACGGCAATAAGTCAAAACGGCAATGACCAAAACGGCAAAAAACCAAAACGGCAACACTTTTTGACCGGAATGCCAATGAAACAAAACGGCAATGACCAAAACGGCAAAAAACCAAAACGGCAACACTTTTTGACCGGAATGCCAATGAAACAAAACGGCAATAAGTCAAAACGGCAATAAGTAAAAACGGCAATAAACCAACGGCAACACTTCCAGAATGACATACCGGTACTGTATGTCTGCATGGGGCTAAATTATTAATATATTACATTTTTAACCTTGATAATTAATTTATTTAAATATAATTTTTTAAGTTTGTTGTTAAAATAATTGATACATTTTTTAGGTTTATGGCTTTTTAATTTGTAATGGATGATGAGAGTTGCTGGTACCGGGTGTAGCACAGACACGAAGGAACCCTTAGGGGCGAAGAAAGTCATTGATCGATTTCCTAGTCCACACATCAAGCGCCCTGAGTATCTTATATTAGATGGATATGTGCGCTATATAAAACTACACTTATTATTATTATTATTATTATTATTATTATTATTATTATTATTATTATTATTATTATTATTATTACCTAATTTACTGATATGAAAGTGAACCCAATAAATCGTATCGTATCATTATCGTTATTGTTATAAAAATGTATACTGTACATAAATTATAAACATGAATGTGTACAACTACAACGATAAATACGGTGAAAATGAGGCTATAATTGTCATAAAAGTAAAAAACGCGAAAGAACAACAACATTAATAGTAGTAGTAGTAGTAATAATAATAATAATAATAATAATAATAATAATAATAGTATAACATACAAATTCAATAGTAAAAAGATTGGGAGAATCAATATAAAAACAGTAAACATTTAAATAATTAAAACTTTAAAATACAGACAAAATGAGGCTAAACAATTTATGTCAAAGTAAAAAATCGCAAAAGAAAAAAAAACTTTTTAAAGAATAACAACATTAATAATAATAATAATAATAATAATAATAATAATAATAATAACAACAACAACAACACAACATACAAATTCAATATTAAGAAGGATTGGGGGAACACAATATAATATATACAATATAAAACCAGTGAACATTTAAATAATTAAAACC